TCGCCAATCCAGATAAAGTGAGCACCGAGGTTGTAGTACTTGTCACCAATGCGTTTGGTGACGGCTTCTTCAAAGTCGAGGACCAGGCCTTCATGGGAGCTAAAGAGCTCCACTTGACTCATTGAAGGGTGGTCGCGCGCACCGCAGGCTTCCATGAACGAGAGGGCATACTTGATCTCCTATGCAAGGCATGCAATGGGGGGCGTATAAGCCATCACGCGGGGACTTGACGAGTGTGGGTTCAGGTCTGTGAGGGAGGGGGGGGGGGGGCGATGTTTTCGGAACGTACGGCAATGACATCTTCGTAGATTTTGCGCTTGTCACCGACTTTGACAAAGGAGAGGTCCCAGGTGTCGGGGTGGTGCAGATCGGCAAAGCCCGAGGAGAGAAGGCTGCGGACGTAGTTCATGGTGGAGGTGGAGTAAAAAAAGGCTTCTCGAAGGCGGTTGGGGTCGGGTTGGCGGGCAGACAGGTCAAACGAGTTGATGCTGTCGCCTTTGTAGGTGTAGACATCTTGGCCATCAACCTTTTCCAGGGCCTGGGAGCGGGGTTTCATGTATTGGCCTGCGATGCGCCCGATGCGCACGAGGGGCACGCGGGCGCCCCAAACCATGACCAGGCTCATTTGCAGCAGAATCTTGAGCTTGGCTTCAATCCGGTCTGGCGTGCAGTCCATGAAGCGTTCTGCGCAGTCGCCGCCCTGCAGGATGAAGCGTCGTCCAGCAGCCACCTCGCCGAGCTGAGCCTGGCAAGTATGTGCCAAGTATGTGAAGTGAGCGGGACAGTGTGAGGCTGGACGTGGGGCTGGACGAGACAGCCGGGGGAATGGGATAAATAAGGGGTGGGGGTGGTTAGGGTTAGGGTTGTTGGGGTGGGATGCGTTGGCCTGGCTCTTTTTCTGACCTTGAGACGGTCGATTTCGGCAGGTTGAACAATCGGGGGTAAGCGGCTAATGTCGTCGCAGACTTGCTTGAGCTGGGGCATGTCCTCGTATTCGGGTTGCTGCTGGATGGGGAACGAGCGCCACGAGGTGGGCGACCATGTTGTTGCTGCTGCCGCATCGAGAGACTTTTCCACTCCATTGCCCTGGTCATTGGCCTCGGTCAGGGCACGCTTTGCGGCGGGTTCTGCCATCCTGACAAGCTGGGACCAAGAAGTGACGAGAAGAGAAGAGAAGAGAAGAGACGGGAAGAGACGAGAAGAGAAGAGGAGGAGCAGAAGGAGGAGGGGGAGCAGGAGGAAAAGGTGAGAGGGGGGTGAGAGCGAGACATTGCACAAGAGCAAAGCGATCAAGCCAGTCAAACACGAGTCCAGAGTCAACCAGGATGTATCACGCGCCATCAAACGCAGGCACAAGTCCAAACGGCAAGCCAGCTGCAACTGGCTCAAAGCACAGCCCACAGCCAGACAGAGACAGAGAGACAGAGAGAGCGAGAGAGCGAGAGAGAGCGCACTGC